TCAGATCTCAGCCTTCTGAGCAGCTAAGATTACAAAAATGAGCCACAAGCACTCAGTTTCTGATAGAGTTTATGTAAGAGAGTGTGTGTGTGGGGGGGTGTGAGTGTGTGTGGGGGTGTGAGTGTGTGTGTGTGGGTGGGTGAGAGAGAGAGAGAGATCCTTAGGGGAGATAACATTTTTAGCATTAGGGATTTATTTGTAAATCAATTTATTTTTTCAATCCATCCAGTGACAAAAAATATACACTCTTTAGATGTCTCCTTGAACACAGAAAAACACCGAAAAAAAACCACTGCCACTTCATTTTCAAATGTATTTCTTTTAGTTCAGGAAAGAATGTCACTTACTTTCCTGTCACAATACATAGATTTATATTCTTGATGGCTAATTTTAATTCTGTAGAATGTAAAGATTTTTTTTCCTATTTAGAAAGTTTAAGAAGTCTTACAGTTCTGCAGACCTGAAATAGTTGCATTTCATAGTGTCTGGCTTGAAGATAATTTACAGGAAACTTAGTCAATACCAGTTAGACTTCAAACAAGGCAGTAAGAGTATTTGGAGGACAAGTAGTTGCATGTTAGTCACATACCTAATGAGCCCATCACCTGCTCGGTGGTAGACACTGCTAGATATGGTGCATATGAAATTGATTGGAAAGAACTCCCATCACTGAACTGCTCAGGCTCTTAGCTAGCAATGCACAGTTACTGAAAATAGGAGCTAGGAATTATTTATAGAAGAAGAAGTTACTATGCCATCAGCCACATTAAAGTTTGCATATGCTTCATCAGGGAGTTCAAGATAACATCTATTTAGTATAGAGATTAGATTGGAACTTGTATTTTTATCACACATGGACCACTTCTCTCACATGCAGGAACCCAGACCAAGTAGGATAAATGGAAGCAAAATTAAAGACTATTTTATGAAGACAACAAATACATGAGATTCCAAATAAATGATCATGTCCAACTCACATTTTTAATGGTTAAAGCTATGGATTATACTATATTGATTTATCATTATAAAATTTAAGATATAAAATTGCCACACTTTGGTTTAAATCTAGTTTACAACAACTGGGAATAAAGCCTATCTTTTATACTAAAAATGCTGTCATTTTCAGAGATCATAATCCTGTAATTTTCGCATAGGGTCTGAATTTGTATGTACTATATTAAATTTACTTAAGTATTATTTTAGGAGTGTATACATGGGGACAATTTGAACTTCTAAATCATTTCTGAATACATTATCCTAAGATATATTAGTAATTTGGAATAGGTAAGAAAATAAAATCATATATACAAGAGTAACTTGGTCTATTTTTAGAATTAAAAATACAAAATAATCTTTTTCTTGTTTCAATTATACTGTTGGATTTCTTTATCTTCTCTTTTTATTTTATGTATGCCTTTCAACTCTCCAAGCTATAAAATGAATAACTTTCTACCCTGAAAACAACTGTTTGATTAAGTAGATACATGTGAAAATCACATTTTTAAAAAGTTATTGTAATCTTTCATATTTTTGGTGTTTGGCATTCAATATACATGAATTGGTGGTTGAAGCTGGCCATTATATATAAGATGCAGATCTATCCTAAAGGTTGAGTCTGCTTAACTTTCTAGGCTTCATTGCTATAGGAATAAAACACACATACTGGTCAATGTGGTTCCTCGTTATCTTTTTTAGCTCTACTATGGCTGCTATTCTTCCTTATTAGAATATTCTATCTGGTTTAATCACTTAAAAGTATTTTCCACTACATAGCCAAAATGACTTAAGCAAAATTTCATATTCCTGAGGCAAGAAACCTTGAAATTAGTGTTTGCTTGGCTTTGAAGTCATTTTTGTGTCATTTAGACTGACATTAATTGCATTGGTCTATTTGGTAAGAAAAGAAAAAGCTATGTTGATGACATTCATTATAGTTTCTTTCTATGTTTTCAGCCATGTTTTTAGCCATAGTTTTAGCTAATGGTTCCTAGATGCAGCCAAAGAGTAAGAGAGTAGTTCTTGTGTACAATACTGAATCAACAGAATTCATTAACTAGCAGGAACCAGGGTTTTGATATTGGGCAAATAATCACCAGTGGTAGCTTCATTTCTTCACATAACAGTGTGTGCTTTCATATCGATTGTGCATTTGATTAACATTCTTTGTGGCCAGCTTCTACTGTCTTCATGATCTATTTCAAGTGACACTCCTATGGAATTGTGTTCCAATCCTCAGTAAGAATGTGTTTCTTCAATGTAGCCTCTTAAACACCTCTGCCCATTTGTATTTCAAGAGCTCTTTCTGTTATAGAAAATTATTATTTTTAATTATAGTTAAGTGTTTTACAGTAGTACTAGGGTGTGAAGCTAGGGTCTGTCACTTACAAGTGAAATGGTCTATCACTTGAATCATGCTCTCTCCCACAGTTTCACAGAGGGTAGCCTTGTTCTACATATTCCTTCCAAAGCTAGGGTAACAGGGTTATACCACCATGCTTTGCTTATTGCTTCAGTGGAGGTCTAGCTAACTTCTTGTCTGTCTGCTTTCAAACTGTGATTCTCCAAATCTTTACTGTGGAGTAGCTGAGGTGATAAACCTGAGATGAATAAAACCAGAGTTAGCTATTACCTGAAAAAAAAATAGATTCTTACCAAACATTTATTAAACTATCTGAACATGCTTCTATCTCTCCCTTACTATCATCATCTCTAAAGTTATTAATCATATTTTAATCAACTATGGTAAATAGTTTGAGTCACATTATTTTCTCTTCTTTTACTTCCTTGCTTCCTTTCTTCCTCTTTTCCTTTCTTCCTCTTTTCCTCCCTTCTTTCCTCCCTCTCCCCCTACCTTACTTCCCTTCCCTTTCCTTTCCTTTCCTTCCTTCCTTCCTTCCTTTCCTTTCTTTCTTTCCTTCCTTCCTTTCTTTCCTTCCTTCCTTCCTTTCTTTCTTTCCTTCCTTCCTTTCTTTCCTTCCTTCTTTCCTTCTTCCTTCATTTTTTCTTGCTTGTGCTGGATCTGAGGCTTGATCTCAAAGTCTCAAACGTTTACTGGGCTTTCCTGCTTATGACTGGTGCTCTGTCACTTGAGTCACACCTCTAGACTGGTATTTCTGCTAGTTAATTTATAGGATGAGTCTCACAGACTTTTTGTTCATTCTGGATTAAATTCTTCCTTTAAATCTTCTTCAGCATCTGCCACATGAGTAGCAAGGATTACAGCCATGAGCCACTGATATCTGACATCATACTCTTAACTAGTTGATTTATTAAATATACCTAGTACCAGTACTCCAAATAAACCCTGTGGTAGCCAAAAGTGGTTATGTGATTGTCTTTTCTTAAAACTATCCCACAGCTTGTCTAATATGAACAAATACAAATGAGTGTTTACTGAATATCTTTATGCCAATATTTTTAAACTGCAATGATCTCAAACAAAACTATGCAGGAAAACCTACAGGCAAACAAAATAATGCATACATCTGAGCACTTCATTTTATAAAGATGCAACTTTGCCCTCTTGAAAAATAAAATAAAAGTCACTTAGAGTATGAATGAAATTAAAACCAGAAGTGCATAGTTTGTTTATATACTTTATAGCATTTATATATGATATGAGATAGGAGTTTCTGAGCAATACTTAAAAACAAAGCAAAAAACATTTAGAATCTTAATCCTAATCCATATTAGACTGAAGCTGTAGATTTATTCAGGTGGATCTCAGTGTTACACCAAAGATTGTTCAATGTATTGTATGACTCTTACAGCAATCATTTTTAGTGGGAACTAGTAAACATCAAGTCTAGATTAGTAGTGACTATGATTTTATGTCATTCTAGTGGTCAATTTTATGTCATTTCCATGTTTTATTTCAAGAAACATTTTGCAAAAGATATTTTAATATGTATGTAATGTGCTTCCTTTAGGAAATTCATTTAGTGATTATAAATGTTAAGATTTTTGCCACCCAGGTTTTTTTTTAGAATTCAATAAACACTTTATTCCCAATATGTGATGAAATTGGAAAAAGTTCTGGAAATCAGTGAGAATCTTACAAACTCCTTTCTGTTAAATATCATTCTTTGTCAATGAAATATGAATCTGAGTTTTGTCTGGAGACTTCCAAAATGAAACCTAAAAATTGAATCCTAAATTAGTCTTCAAAGTAATATGGGAATTACTTTTTAGAATTGTTCATTACTACTTTAGCTCCCAATAGCATGCAAAACTGAATCAGAAGATCTCAGCATTTTACATTTCCTTGCAGACTTCGTAGAGTGCTAAATGGCCAGATCAAACCAATGTTTGACAAATCACTCACTGAACTTATCAAAAATATGCTATGTAAAACCATGGCCAGAAAGAAAGATCACATAGTAGATGAGCAACTCAAGCTATTTCACATATAGATAGGGAATGTGTTTAAATATTTACTGTAAGCTCTCATTACAAAAGGTAAGAAATAAACTTGTCAAGAAAAAAATAAATAAAACATGAATCAAGTATCAAGAACTTTAAAATATATAGGAAGCCATGATTTCTTTTTCTCTTTCAGTTGCTTACAATTTGTAGGACAAAGCTATACACTCATAGAACCATTAGGAAACGAGTCAATAGGCAATCTACTGCTCACTGCAGGGTAGAGAGTATACACATTGCATCATGTTTTAAAAAGGGAATGACTGCATGGTGACATGGTTTCGCTTTATTTTCTCCACAAATAGTCCAATGCCAAGGAAAGCTGTGAAAACACAAGCTGGAAATTTCATCATACTGTAGTGCCAAAATAATCTAAATATTGTGTATGTGGGGGGGTTCCCTTAACATTTGGTACAAATTCAAATGTATATGTGGAGAAATATAATTGGTCATACCATTTGCTTCTGAAAAATCTGGGAGAAAACATAAAGGCATTCCACTACAATCTGTTCTATGTATTTTCTATATACACCTACCAAATAATCTGCAGAAACTTAAAAGAGCCCTTTTGTTTGTAGCTTGTCGACCAGGCTTCTACAAGGCTTCAGATGGTAATACGAAATGTGCCAAGTGTCCACCTCACAGTTCTACCTATGAAGATGGTTCAGTGCACTGCAGGTGTGAGAATAATTACTTCCGAGCAGAAAAAGACCCTCCATCCATGGCTTGTACCCGTGAGTAGTTCTGCTGCAACCCATGCTTCCATAATTGGTTTGATTTATCTTCTTGTTCCTGTGCTGGAGTTTCGTTAATATCATTTTGTTTTGCTTTCCTTTTTTTCTTTTGTTTCTGTGCATATATGTGTTTAAAACATTTGTGTACTTCCTTTCTTTGTCCATGTGCAGTTGAAAGCTTTCTCTTTTCCCTCTTTCATGCTTCGCTCATCTCAAATGCAACATCTATCACCCAAAATGAATTGGTGTTTAGAAGCACTTCCTGTATCTTCTTTAAGGATCTTGCATTATATTTGACAGGATAGGGGAGGTTATAGTCAGTGAATTTATGTTTTTACATTTCTATTCCCTTTTACTATCTCTTGGTCATAGGTCACCGTGAGAAAAAGACTAAGATTTATAAAAGCAATACTGATGTTTTCTTAACTATTCACATGGGTATTGAATTTAGTGGTGAGTTCCTTTGCTGGACACTGAGAATGTATCCTCAACCTTGACTCAAAACTCTCCCATTCATACTGTGGGAGGAACAGGGCTTTTGAATACATGTGCCTATAATCTCATGGATTCTCTAAGGATGAATTAAAAGTAGATTATAAAGACAGGATGGTTATTTACCTCTTTCAGTTCCATTGTAAATTATCTTTTTCCCTTTTACTAGAAAGCAGAAGTGAAGTTCATTAATCTTTGTTGAACTACTTTGCAGGACCTCCATCTGCACCAAGAAATGTTATCTCTAATATAAATGAGACCTCCGTTATCTTGGATTGGAGCTGGCCTCTGGACACGGGAGGCCGGAAAGATGTTACTTTCAACATCATATGTAAGAAATGCGGGTGGAATGTGAAGGAGTGCGAACCATGCAGCCCAAATGTCCGCTTCCTCCCTCGACAGTTTGGACTCACCAACACCACGGTGACAGTGACAGACCTCCTGGCACACACGAACTACACCTTTGAGATTGATGCTCTTAACGGGGTTTCAGAGCTGAGCTCCCCACCAAGACAGTTTGCTGCAGTGAGCATCACAACTAATCAGGCTGGTGAGTACACCGTTCATCACGTTTCTAGTTCCTGTATGCTACATGCAACTGAGGAATCGTTGGGCAGTGAGCGCACGGCAAAGTGGTGGAGAGAAACTTTCAAATGAACCCTTGACTTTTTCCTACTATTACATTTAGTCAATTATATCTTGCTGAACAAATAACTCAATTATTCAGATGAGAGTAAATTCTATCTACTCTATCTATATATCTATATATGTTTTCAATTTGGGATGAAAATCACATTATTTGACCTGTCTTTTAGTTATGTAAATTTTATTTCTTATTTCTTGAGATGTGACTTAATCTAATATATATATAGAGAGAGAGAGAGAACTTATTTTCATATTTATGTGGTGTATATATTGTTTATTCTTTCTCATATATAGACATATATCTATATTACCTTATCTAAAAACTAGGCTGAACTCACTACTTCCCAACAGAAATTCTTAAATATCTGGGCCTCTGAGACAGATAGTAGTTATGGAGTTACATATTCAAATTGTGGAGAACTTACCATGTTCTGCTTGAGTTTAGCTTAACTAATGGCACTTTATATGCTTTCAATGGGAATCACTCTTTGCTTTGAAGATATGAGTATGTGCTAGAGGCTGTAGACAAAAAGAAAGCAGGGTCTGTCGAAGTCTGCTGTCCACTGGAAGAGGTCTAGTAGCAGCCAACAAAACTGTCACTTGTTTCAGTTCCTTCGCCAGCTCAGGAAGAATACAGGAGCCCTGACATCCAAGGCTGATAGTCAATCAGTATGCATTAGGATAACTCTTGAAGTTGTTAATTTTAAAAATGTTTTTGTACTGGCTGGTCTAACAAATCCTTCAGATTAGAATAGAAATGCACCTCTACTGGCTAATTAAACTCAGTATTTCATGTCTGTCTTCATACTTCCCATAATCCAGCAACCAAGAAAGTAAATCCTAGCACAAGTGCAATCGCTAGAATCCTGTGCAAGCACTCCCTCCTTTAAAGGATCCCAATCTTTGCCATGTTAATGACAAATTTTTTCATATAATCCCTGTTGGAATCTATTACATGATATATGTGTGTGTGTGTTTACATACACACATAAATATGTGTGTACACACATATATAAACATATATAGAAAGATAGATGTCTAGATATAAATCTATCTATATCTCTATATATCTTTCATATCCTAAATTAATTCCCACATATTGTTTTCACAGTCACATTATTTTACATTGTCCTTTAGTCATATGTAAATTTTATTTGTGCAGAAGGTTTGGCTTAAATGAAGTAGCACTGAGTCATTACTCTTATTTACTGATTCAGATTTCCCCACTTTAAGTTAGATCCCAGTCCCAACAGTGTATGCTCTTTCTTTGCTTCAGTAAATGATATTTAACCTTTGTAATGAATGATGTTTAAAATTCTGTATCAGCTTTATTTAACTACCTTCTGTGAGGAAAAAAAACCATGGATACTGTAATGCTGTTGCTATCTATTGTGTGATTATGGATGCTCATCTCCACTGAACACAAGGATTCTAAGAAGTTGTAATGATATGGTAAATTGATCTCCTGAATCTTTATAGTTTACTTGTTGATTTATTACCTTGTTTAAAATGAAGACATCAATCTCTGTTATAATTATCTCTTAAGTCAAACAAAAACATATAAAAACAAGAAAGACCTCTTTATTTCCTATCGTATTCCTCTCTGGCTTTCTGGCAATGCATTTATCAAGAAATTAATAGTTCCATATACATTTAGTGAGTGAATCTAGGTAAAGTGGCAGCCAAGATCAGGGCAAGACCCTGAAAAATAAATGCGGTTCATGCTTTGACCCTCTGACTTACAAATCGCTCTGGATGACAGATGCAGTGAAGATGATCTCAGTTACTTTCCCTAACCCTACACTCATTTTAAAGAAAAATCACAATTTGTCTATAATGTGTACCTCTGCATATGTTTGACATATTCATTTCAGGGTTTCCATATCATTTTAAAAGCCTGGGGAGATAAATCTTCATCACAATTTCGGATCTCTAGCATAAGATATCCAAGCACAATTTTAAACAATGCCATGTCTATAGGGTCTGTTCCTTTGTTTTGCTTTATTCTTCTTTTCATGAAGGTTAATGGACTGGTAGACTAAAAAAAATAAATAAATAACCTCTCTAACACTAGAAGGCTATGGCCTTGATTGATAGGATACCACAGTGTTTAAATTCCTTCCAGTTTCTTTATCTCTGACATGGATATAAAGGGCAAATGTGAATGTGTCCTTTTAATTTAGTTTGTAATCGAGATTGAGTGTGCTGATTCTTCTCTGTATTACACTGTAAAAGCTTTGTGATGCCCATTTGATAAGGTGCCTTCTAAATTGTAAAGGATTATGTGGTAAATTCAGATATTAGTTCTCAGGTCTCAAAGCTAGCCCAAGTATGTCAATGATAAAAAAAAAGCATGGCTTCCACAAAGAGATTATGTCTATTATTCCATGAGTCAGAGATAAAGGAAGAATTATAAATTACAAAACAAAAATCCTTAAAGTTACAGCTTGTAACTTGTAACTTTTTTTTTTAGAATAGGCACATTTACCTTCCAGTTTCAGGAGCAATCCACCTCCATTATTGAATCTGCATTTTTCTAATGTCCTGTAGTAAGAATGATCACAGACTATACAAAAAAAGAATAAACAAAGAATTATGACATTTCTAGGTATATCTCTGGTCCTACATTATACTGCTGGAAAAACTGATGATCCCAGAAGCTTTTCCAATAGAGACCAAGCTCTGAAGGTGTTTCCCCACTCCAGCTGAACTTCCATCTCTAAATCTTATTCTTTCTGTTATTCTGTGACTCTTACTTTGAAGCTAGGGAAGTAATTCAGCTTAGGAGATAGAGTACAGTTTTGCTTGGAATTCTGTTGTAATTTAAGCCAGTCAGAATAAACTTGTTCCTTCTTGCTCACTGGGTTTCTTAGGACCATTCTGCAAGAGATTCTCCTTGTCATCTCCAAGATTCCCTAGACCTAACCCCTCTTTTTACTTTCTCATATTCATTGAACTACCAGGTTTTCAAGACAATGCACTCTAAGCATGAAAAGAAAATTTCATCTCCCCTTTTTTACATCTAATTTCTCCCATCTGTTCTCAACTCACTCCCATTGATTTCAGTCTGTAAAAGAACACTTTCTCAAACAAATCTCCCTCCCTCCTAACATTCTTAACAAGCACTCTCTCTTGCATTCTGTCTATGTCATGAATTTTTCTTTGTTCTTGAGAAAGATACAAATAATTCAATGATAGCAGCCAGTAAGAATAATACACAGAGATAATTGCATGTGCCCATTATAAATGACTGACTCTTCAAGATCTCATTTGTTATTTATTTAATTTGCAATCAAACCTTAGATTTTTTTTCATAATCTTTGGTTCTCATTGTGTTCTCTCATTCATACTCCCTTACCACACTGCCATGCACATTTCTTCTTTCACAAGAACCAGTAATAATTCCTTATTTGGTTCTTTATTTTCCACTGAATGCAATTGTTAGGAAGAATGTATATTTCATGAGGGTCTGGAAGCTGTCCAACTGTTCACATTTGTATTTGCAAGATTTAGTACAAAACTTCTGGTTATTAGTCAAATATTTATTGAATGAATCAATGATTAGTGGAAAGTCCCATCATCCACAAGTAAAAATATATTCTCCTTCAATCTTCTTACTTATTTTTCTTTCACTAATTGGTCTATTTTCTCCCCACCAATCCCTGCCCATAAATAACTTATTAGGAAACATTTGTATTATCTTTTGTATATTGTTTCCATTGAAGAAGGAGTCGCATTTGCTGATTTTTCTTTTCAATTGTTTTGATCCATATAGCATCTTATCCACATTGTGGGAATTAAAAATACCTAATAACATGTTAACAAAAAAGTAATTTCAGCCAGGCACTGGTGACTCATGACTGGTATCTTAGAAACTCAAAAGGCAGACCTGAGGATCACAGTTCAAAGCAAGCCTGGCAGTAAAGTTCATGAGACTATCTCCACTAAACTACACCAGAAAATCCAAAATTGGAGCTGTGGCTCAACTCTTTGGCTAGTCTTGAACCAAAGAGGGACAGCAACTGGGCTGTGAGTTCAGGCCCCAAGATACACACACACACACAAACACACACTCACACACACTATAATAACAATAATAATAAAAATTTTGTGAATATTAATGGTCTTCTTTAAATTATATTGAGTGGGGCGCTGTGGCTCACACCTACAATCTCAGGAGGCTGAGATCTGAGGACTGTGGTTCAAAGCCAGCCTAGGCTGGAAAGTCCGTGGGACTCTTATCTCCAATTAACAACAAGAAAACTGGAAGTGGCACTGTGGCTCAAATAGTAGAGTGCTTGCCTTGAGCTGAAGGGCTGAGGAACAGTGTCCAGGCCCAGAGTTCAAGCCCCATGAACGACAAAATAAAATAAAATAAAATAAAAAATATATATAGAGAGAGATTCCAAGATAAAAGAAATACTAAAATTTATGAATTTAAATTATAATATCATTCTGTGCAGGACTTCTTTCCACTGAAATATTTAAGTGGATTAATCAATCATCTTATTTTTATATGTTAATATTAATTTACATAAAAATAATTTTATATTCATGCTTATTTTATGTTCATATTCTATATTAGCAGAGGCCTGTATAAATCTAGATATCAATTTAAAAATACCCTATGAATCAATAAAGTTGTATAAACTAGAATGTAATTAAATACTTTAAAAAGTTAAAATTTTTAAGAAAATATATTGGAGAAAGGACATGAGATATATTTTGAAAAATGTAGAAATAAATCAGCTAGATATGAAAAAATGGACAGAAATATTTAAAATAATCTTGGAATTGTTACCCAAATATCAAATATAATAGAAGGTGACAAAGGATGCTTCTTGTTAAGAAATAAGAGGATATCAATTTAGCTAAGCAAGGAAGACCAAGCAATTTAAATAATAG